TTGTTTGACGAAAGGGCATGCGATTCGTGAGACGTTCTCTACCCAAAATTCCTACTTTGACATGTCCCACGCTGTACGTCGATCCCAGAAAGCTGGCCACTGTCGAGAAACAAGACCAGCACAAGGTACCTTTTGGTCATGCTTCCATTCGATCTCGTCTATGAGTGACTCTACATGTCGCCTTTTTCTTTCTTTCTGCAGAACGTCTTGGCCGGCAGGATGCATGAGTAGCGAAACAGGCTAAGGTAGACGGGTGGTTGGGTGGGTGTGCTGCACGCAGACACACTTGCGTGCAGGTCTGTGATAACTTGCTCTGCAAATCCAAACCAACCGTGAAATCCAATCAAACTAACCAACTTGCTCTTGTTGCCTGCGTGATGTGGGCGAATCCAGTGGCAGGATGCACTTGTGGTTTGAAGTGTGCGATGCCTGGCCCCCCTGCTTCTCAGATTAAGCGAATCGGGTACTTTTGTTGCCAGAAGCAGACAGGTTGACCTTTCATAGGCGTGCCACAAGAATAATAACCATACGGACAGACTACTTCAATTTACAAGAGTAATGTACGAATGGTTCGCACATGTATCCGTAGCCCGAATTGCTAAACACCTCACAGTTGCATCATGGGTAGCAGAATGAGAGAAGGGGCTCAATACTACCAAACGCCCGTTTCCCGTTCCCCGAATCCAGCACACCATTGCCGAGTCTCCCGTCTACACAACGGGAACACGGCAGACCGAACGGCAAAAGTTAACCGTTGGGTAATTAAGGTAATTACTCAAATGGCAATCTGTATGCCCGCGTGTGCCCATACCAGCAGCGTCATTAAGGTTGGCCCAGAGCTTACACCCCTCACCCTACCTACCTTAGCTCAAGTCTTTTTTTTTTCGCTCAAGAGTTCTTCCCTTTGGTCACGAACTGAATTTGGACGAACGGAATTCCGGCTCCTGAGGCTACCCACCATCATGTTTACAGCCTCCCCCCGGAACCCCTAGGTTCCCCCTCCCTTTGAATTCGTGACCATTGGGGGAATAGAAAGTTGGAGAGAGTTAATACTTAGTGTACTCTATCCGTAGAGACCATCGTCAGAAGCAGGCGCCACGAACCAATCACTAGCGAGCCGAAGAGCCGGGTACTCGTCACCCTTCTACGCAATCTCGGATCAAGGCAATATGAAATCGTTCGAATGTGCTCAGAGGCACGGAGAAAGATTCCGAGACCCGTCTCGCTGCTGCCATCACAAACAAGACATCATTCAATAGCAGGTCTTTTTTTCTTGAACGGGAAGAGTTGCCGGCGCTGTGATGGAGCCTGTAGCTGCTCTTCCATGGTTAAACTTATCCACCGGTCTGGATCATCCCTCCCCTGTACCTGGAAGGCAGTAAACTTTTCTCGCTCACGGTACAGCGGCTATCAAATGACAAAAAGAAAAGAATGGGAGCTAGCTTTCTCAAGCGAGGCTTGCAAGCCCTTCAACCCGCGCGCCCGCGCCCGCGCATTTGGGAAGCGATGGCGCAGAATCCCTCGGAGATGAGCCCAGATAGACTTTAGGGTGTCCTCTACTTTAACCAGCCTACGGCTCGCGGTATCCGTCCAGGCGAATCACAAGAGGGTAAAAAGGCTTGTTTGCAGGTCCATCAGCCCTGTAGGCTGCACGGGGAGAGGGAAAGACTCGAAAGAGGTGTGGCACGCGCGCCCACCCCGGGACCGAGTCAGCAGAGTCAGCAGGAGTCAGCCAGGAGGAATGCTCGTCGATAAAGCTAGATCCCCTTTCAGGATAGCCCGTCATCCGTCTCCCTTCCTTTATATCCAGGTCTAGGATATCTCCGTCTTCAGGTTGGGGCGGTTCACACTCGCTGGATAGTCAGCGGGAAGGCTTACCACTCGGAAGCTGACTACTTCAGTCGACATGGGAGTTGTGATGGCCTGTGGCATTGGCTCGTTCATTTGGGTCGGCTGAGCTTGATTCCCCATCTTCTTGTAACCGGGAGACCCTGGGCCCGACCATTCGAGTCAAGGTATTGTGAAGTCGTAGACAGAATTTAGGTACTGCCACTTCGGCCCACGGCACGAAAGCGTATCCACCGCCAAAGTTCGGGAGTATTATTCTACATGCACGGATACAGAGAGTTTCTAATTCGAAGGGGGCTCATCAAGTACCTACAGATATCCGTACACATGTAAGATAGACGACGATCATCGGCGTATCGGCATCAGCCACAGATTAGCTGGACGCGGGCCCCGTAGCATCCGTATCATTTTGAGAACATGACCGTCCACTCCTTGGCCTGCCCAAACAGGCACAAACCTGGGCTTGGCGGTGATCCTATGGATCTTGGGTGAATCAGGATGTGTGTCCCGCTAAACGGCGAACCAATGCACACAAACGAGGGTCAGCCTCTTTCTATTGCTGCCAAGACCAGGTTGGCGTTGCTGGGCATTCCGTGGCACATGTCTGGTGCGCTCGTATCCTTGGGGGCTCGTACTTGGAGTCACGGATTAGTAGCACCATGGACTCTTTTATTCTGATTTGGTGGCTCGTACCAAGAACCGAGTCCTGCTTTCTGTGCGAGAGAAGCGGGTAAAGACTTGGGAAACGGCATGCCCGTCGGCCGATTATATCCGTAGGAGCGACGAGAGAAAGAAGAGGCGAGCCACCGGACCGATTGTCCACTGGTGCCGCAGACGCGCACACAATCCGACAGGGTAATTACTGAATACCCTGTGATGTGGGAGAGCCAAGGTTTTCTTCGCTGGACGGGCTAAGCGAAGAAAGGGGTGGAGGATGGGGGGGCACACAAGACGCCGATGTATCCTTGCATCAAATCACGGCGGTGGATTAAGCAGAGAGACAAGCTTAGTCCGAGGCGCCAATCAGTACATTCCTCGGGTTGAGCCACGCCTATCTAACTGCTGTTACGCGACCGGATGCCAAGATGACGAGAATTCGACTCAATGATAGATAGACTGGAAGCCTTCGTAGTTGGCTGAGCCAGGAGCGATGACTAGGAAAACTGCCACTGTAAATAAGCCAAGCAGAAGGCCAGCGCCACTGCACCATGAGCAGGTTTAAGCATGAATTTAAGCGTTGTCAGCCACTGCTCCTAGCGTCGTCTTGGTCTTCTTGGCATACCTCACAGCTCCTCTGGGATCTGTCGATGTTCTTCTGGAGGTTGTGGTCGGTAGCCGGGGGGGGGGGGGTGGCTGGAGTAAGGAGGGGCAGCGAAGGCAGCACGATTTTCTTGCTTACGCCCTGTGTTGGTGAGCGGCGCTGTCTTGGCCACTAATGAGTTATGGAGCCTAACGGACTTTTCGAGGAGCACCGGGTCCGAGAGAGAAACGGTTCTAGAAGGCGAGGCGAGAGACACATCCCACAAGAAGAGATAAAAAGCACGGCTTCAAGAAGTCTAAAATACCCCATGAAGCAATACGCCGCGGATGCAGTCTCTTTCGGCATCCAGGAATACATTTAGAGTCAACTCAATCTCTTCCTGTTAGTTCTTCTGCGCGCAGCATTGTGTCTCTATCGGCATGCAGTATCTATAGCCGTATCCGTAAATTCTCCAACTTGAGGCGGCAGCTCATAATGAAAGCCGGAATAACCGTCCTCTTGGCATGGGGACGTGGACTGGGCGGTCCATGGTCAAATGTCCGTCCAAGGTTTCCCTCTGCAGCAGATAAAGTGCGCCTTCAGAGCCCAATAGAACCTTCCCCGGTCTCTTCTCTTTTGCTTCCGTCCCGACAAAGGTAAGATGCTTATTCAGACGGGCGGTGAAATACCCTAGATTTAGCCTAGAGTTTAGTGACTATGCGTCTTTGGCTTTTGCGGGAAAAGGTTTATGGTTAAGATTACAAGAAACCCAAATCGAAGCCCGCGGCTGCCCCCTGCTCGCTTTCGGTCGAGCCGTGGACCGCGCGGGTTCCTCCTTGACAGCCTGACAGGATTCCCCGACATTGGAAGAGTCGATGATAATGCTTATCTCGTTGCTTAGGATCGTTCATGACTTAGACTTCATTGCGGAGTAGTCCTTGCAATACGGCAGTATGGCAATATGGAGGTCAGCAAAGTCAGAAAGGTTATTGGCCACTAGGCTTCCGGACCAGCCGCGCATTTCCAGAGAGAGAGAGCGGGTGGGCAGAGTCTAGAGAGCCTCACTATCTCAGATAATTTTTTGCATGTTTCGGCCATCGAGTCAAGCTTAAGCCCCTCCTCCCGCCCCGTCTGATAACTGGAGAATTCAGCGGAAAGAATGATGAGACGAGACGTACCGATGCGAAGGTCTTTCAAAGTTCCAAACCGACCCGAACCGACCAACGATGCTGCCCAGTGGTGCCGGCTAAGAGGGTCCTCGCGCGAGGCTTTGCTTCTCAGCTTACGCTCTTACCCAGGATTACGGATTCCTTCTCATGCTGAGACGATGGACTGTGCTCCAACGTACGGATGTTGGAAGATATGACTCTGAGCGTAAGGGGGCGAGGGAATATGACAGTGGCATCAGCCCAAAAACCTAGAGAACCTAGGCGCTGGGTCTATACATACGAATAGAGTCCCTAAGGACAACACTTGAGGTTCTCTGCTCAGAGTGGCCGGCCACCTCGCTCAATCTTACCTTAATCGAGCTTGACCCGCCATCCCATGTCCCTGAACGCCGACTCTGAGCCAACAGGTCAGAATAGGCTCGTAACACCTGCGGCGCCTGACAGGCTTCCCTTGTAAGGCGCGGCTTCATTGGCTGTGAGAATGTTGACTGCTGTGAGAGTCGATCCTTCAGGAGGATAGCTCCTGTATCCCTATGGAGCAGGAGTGCATGTACGAATACGCCTTTTCCAGCCTCCGTGGTGCTCATCTAGGTATTCGTACCTTGGTGTGAAGGGCACCCCGCCGATGTGCATCCCGCCTTGGTTCGCCGCAAAGCCGCAGGGCAAACGGGACCTCTTCTGGATCCGGCTCCCACGGTGCACTATTGCGCTGCCCACAACCCGCCGTTGGAACCCCATCCGACATGGCCGGTCTGTCCAACGCATGTCGCCGCCGTCAGCTCTACATCAAGATGACACAATATGCATATGGAGACCAAGACCTTAGCTGCATCTCGGGATGCTCTTTCGCAGAGAAAGAAAGTAGAAGCGGCCGACAGTCGGACATAGGAAAGCCTCTAGCTCAGCACATTCATCGTAATGATCGCATAACCAGTCTTGCTAGTCTCCACTCTCCCAAGCCGAACCCGAGCAAGAGCCCAAGAAGGGGGCTGTTCTCGTGAAAGCTCTCCACCGTACGGATACTTGATTGAGCAGCAGAGGCTACAGAAACCTGGAAGAAGGGCGAATAGAAGACTAGACAGGGCGTGGCCGCCAGTTCACGTTTCGCTCGTTGCGCCCGCGGTGGGAACCCGCCCCAGTGGTTATCCCTTCGGTCCACGGCCCAGTCGGGGCTCCGTTCCTCTGTTGCGAAGTGCCGCGCGCAAGTCAGCCAGCGTTGAAGCACAAGGCATCTCGCAACCCGGCCCCATGACTCGGTTTGCATAAAGGATAAGCCGTGACAGCAAACCCTAAATAAAAGTGTAAATCGCAAGTGAAGGGATGTCCCCTTGAAACGATGCTTCCTTTCACACCCCCCTTGGGGAATAACGATAGACGTCATTCAGGGTCAAATATACCCACCATTGCAATTCGGATAGGAATAGAAACGTAGAGGTTCAGTTACCGGATGTACCGTACGAGGAGAGCAAATATTAGACATCGATCTTAACACTGAGTCCCTTTGGAGGAACTCGGATGTACGCTTGGCGTGTCACACGTTCACGACCGCTGGTTACCTTTCGTAGGGTCGCTTCTAGCGCCGGGTTTCCCGCTCAGTAAGCGGCTCAAGAGTCAAGAAGATGACGGCCTTGCTTAGTCACGACATCAAGGCGGCATAGAAGCCAGATGTTTGCTCAACTTCGGAGTATGTGTCATGAAGCTTGTCCAAATCGCCGAGGGCGCAAGCTTAGCTCAGCTTCGCCATCAGCGTGTCGAGTGAGGCAACGTACTACTTTGGGAGATTCTGTCATTCCAACATAAATGTAGCCGACTGGTGGGCACACCATCTGTGAGTTAGACTCGGCGCCACCACCACCACCGGTGAGCCAAGCTTCTCGGGTGATGCACCTAGAATGCGGCCATCCAATGTATCAGTCGACGCATTTGGTGGATGCATCATTGCTATGTCTGTTATTCGTTCGGGAAGATTTTGAAACGCAGATAGAAGCGAGAGGTATGGCCCTTCCACCAGCGAAAATCCTTCTAACTTTTTTGTCACAGTTCAATAGGTAGGATGGGATGGATCGGCTCTGGCACAGTTCATCCTGTTTCCGTAGAGCCTATCAGCACATTCGGTGCCAACAGTCAGTTTGAGCAACCGCTTGCCTGTAGCTCACAACCTCGATGTTGGTGAAGTGCAGCATTGGCAGAGAGCTTATATGCGGTACCTGTCGGGTTGAAAGCCGGGCTAAGGCGTGCATGTTTTGAAGCTGCAGGCGCTCATCCTGCGAGTGAAGAACTCCATCCTACAACAAGGCAGCTGAGAGGAATCCATCTTTCCGTCCCGTATTTGGAGGGACGCCTCTTGATGCCTAGCGACGGCCCTACATTGACCAAGATGGGAGAGGCGGCCGGTACAGCAACAACTTCCAGCGGAGACGGGCCGCGGACGCGGGCTCAGCCTGATCGGTGAGGTGCTCATCCCCGTACGCCTATCCCAAGGGAGCATTCGAGGCCGACCTACATATCAAAAAGTCCAGCCTACATGGTTCAGGAACTCGTCTTATTGAAGAGGCAACAGCTTCATCGTTCTGGGAAGCATGCAGCGTGGAGTCTGTGGGCGAGATCGGGCGCCAGGACTACATGTAGCCATTTGAGCCAGGAACCGGTTTGCTGGGTCTGCGGACTTCCACTCAGCTCGCTAGAAGAACCGCCGCATGGATTCATCTTTCAAAGCCCATCACGCTTCACCTTCCCTAGGTCGGCAGGATTGGCGATACCGCGTACACGCTGGCGAATTCGGGAAGCTAGCCGGGGTACCGCTGTCGCCATTGGCGATACAGGTCATCGAACGTCGGATAAAAGTCTGGGATTGACGAGAAGTAAGTTGTTCGTGATCATAGACGCATCACATCGTCACACCATCGCCCTTGGAGCAAGGTGAACAGTTGCCACGAGCAATCCTCTCAAGGACTGATGATGGGATTCTCTATGGACACGTAAAGTAAAGGCCCCAAGTAAACAACTGACCATCCGAGAATGTGATGTATGGGTAAAGTCGATGACGAGCTCCTGAGCTTAACCTGAACGTGCCTTACTGAGCTTTCACGCCTGCTCGTATAGACTCCACGCCTCTCTCCATCTTGCACACCAAGGTAAGTGGACCAACCATCAACCGAGTATCCGGATATGGGACTGTTGAGTTTTCAGACAACAAAATGAAGATCCTGGTAGATTTGCCGTATATGCAAGGTCAATGATAATGGCATCCCCGCTGTCTAGTGACTTCCGTTGGACTAGGTGTACGAACTTCTGTATCAGTGATCATTCCCCGTAACATGAGCCATGAGCTGGGTATTTCACTGTTGCCTGGCGATGTCCAAAAAGAGTCTGTACGGCGTGAAAATTCTCACTTGATGATCCTTCGCCCGACAACGAAAGCCTCCAGCTCCTCTCCGATCCTCTCACATCGAGAATGGCAGGTGCCTGGCGGTGAGAAGTCCACGACGGGTGTGCGGCGGCGTCGGTGACTGATGGCTGACATGGGATGAAGGGGACCCGCTTGAGCGGCACAGAACGGTGCCCGGCCACGAAATTGAAGACTCTAATCTGAACGGGCGGATGCCCGGATACGTCGGCGGCCCTTGGAGAAGATCCAACCGTTCCCCCTCCTCATACCAAAGGTCCCCTACGGTCCCGAAAGATTGGCAGCCTAACTCCGTAGAGAGACAACACTAAACCAACTGCTCTAGTGCCGTTTGGTCACCGGATTGATGCATTGGCATTGAGGCAGTGCTGGACCACCCCCTCTCCGAGTCCCCAGTTCCAGCCAGCCGAGCCAAGACCAGCCAGTCAGACTCGATGAGATGAGATTTTGGGGGTGTTGAAGCCTTGGAAGGATTTGTTGGACGCTGGGCGAATCCACGGCCCCGATACGAACGGTTATCTAAACCAACGCCGGTGCTTGGTGAGGTTGGGACACTATATCGCCCGTATACCACCGGCGGCGCCCTGACTACTGGACGAGAGCCGCCGCCAATGAACCCCGAAGCCTGGGGCGCCTGCTCGGATACGTCTTGGCAACCTTGCTTGTCAAAATTCAAAAAAAAGGGTTTGTTGATGGTTGTCAATGTGAACCGGCGTCTTCGGGGCGGTTCTAACTTCCGACATACTCACTGGTCGCCAGCATCGTCCCTGTGGTAGAGATATCCCTTGCTTCGTGCACGCAGGTTAAAAACTACGTTCTCTATGCTGACCAGTATGAACCTCAACATCCCATGCAGGAAAGCAGAAGAACTTCAGCTGCGAGCTGCTAAGGCGGCAGAACGCAGTCGTCCACTTAGTGTTGGAAACTAGCATCGAAAAGGATGTGCGAGCGCTTGCGAGAGACAAATAAATGGGCCGGTGTGATGAAGTCACGCACATTGCCTGTCGGTGTCAGGCCACCCAGGAGAGGATGAAAAACATAAACCTCAGCCAAAGAAGTTTAGTTCCCCTTGTTGGATTCGTGACCAACACCAACACCAGGTTCCAACAAGACAGACGGGCGTTGGTGCGCCATCCGTCCAACCAACTCTGGTGTGTGTGTGTGAGTCAAAACTAAGAAGACAGAAGAATGGCGCACAGGCCGTGACACTCCCCAGCTACCTTACGCAGGCTTCCTCGGCTGCTTGGCTTGGGGGGTCTTTTTCCCTCTTCCCACCGGGATCCCGAAGGTGTGCTTAAGCTTAATTCGATACTCAAATGTAAGCCACCACGCCATATCGGCCTTCATTCGTTCGATGGAATTCCGGGTTGCGCCCCACACACAGTCATTCTTCTGTTGCTTTTTGCTCTCTTCTGGCTCTCGTTATCCCCTGCTTGCTTCCGAAAGCGAATGCTGCTTCCGCGGTGGAGAGAGAGAAAGGGCCCTGTCGGCTGCCCTGGCATACCTGGGTTTTGAACAATAACCCGCGGCGTAATAAGGATTCAGGGGGCGGTTCGCCAAATCATACATCATCAAAAACCATGTGGGATTGAGGAGCGGATGGTTTATTTTGCTGACGCGGCCACCACCACCCCCGGAGCAAATCTTTCTAGTCTCTGAAAAAGGAGCAATGCCAAAAAGGAGGATGGGAAGATACGGATAAAAAATGCGCACTAAATCATCGACGGCGGGGAACTATCGATAGCGCCATCCTAGATTCCCTCGTGGCATTGGGAATGGAATGCGCGCCGGCAATATCGGTTCCGCTTGTTCCTCTTCGTATGGATATTCCCGCATCCCATCCATCCAATGTCTATCACCACAACCGACTACGAATACAGTCGGCGTCCGTCTTCTTTGATAGCCCCTCACACCTTTCGGATTGTGGGGAGTCGACGGGTGATGCTCAGCTGCCAGGTTGCAGCAGTGGGCACATTCTCAACTAACTTGACCAAAGTGACAAGTGTCAAGAACGGGAGAGACGCCGTTCTCGACTGCCGCGTGGGCAAAAAATGTGCCTCATCCCCACGTCGGACGGTCGCCGTGCTGTTTTCAAGATGCTTGGCTACGGATGGCAGTCTGCCAGTCAAGGTCTTGGTTGTTGACGTCCCCCACTTCAGGCGAAGCTTTTGCTGATCTTCCTGTCCCCTTTCGGGTGCTGAGGCCACTTACTCTCTTTCGGTTTTCTGACATGGACTCGAAGCCTTGTCTCTAGAGACCAGAGGAACTGTAGCATCCATCTCCCTGTTATGGTTATGAAGGGCAAGGCGGGCGGGCACGCAGGTCAGCAGTCCTTTGACTCGGGCAGTTCATCGAGAACAATGCCCGGCTGGGGGCTCGGTGATGTGTGCCCTGTCTACTCCGTGCCCAATCTAGTAGATCGAAACCGAGCTGGACGCCAAACGTTCGCGTTCTTGTCTTTCAAAAACAGCTCGTGCCAAGCATCACCCAAGATGCTTGGCAGAGTTGGCGTGCGCATATCATATCAGGAAGGGCGTCCGTCCATCTCGTTCTCGAGAGAAAGCTAAAGGGGGCACTCGGTGGTCACCACACTGACTTCAGCGGTGCTGGAATAAAGAGGTGGCAGCCGTTAAAGGCCCCAAGAGAGGCTCATGGCCTTGGCGTCACCATAATATCACGATCTTCGATGATCATTGCTCACGATCTGTCTTGTTTTCCGAGGGATTCCCAGACTCCAGAACACTGCCACACAATCTCCATCCAGTGTCTCGCCCATTATAGAAACGTAATTTGCCTGTGCCGAGGACGCATTCCACGGCGAACAATCAATCAAACTTTGCTATCCGAGGGACGGAATATCCCTTGCTGGCGCATATTCGTCGTCGATTTGAAGACTTGACCAGTCTATTCTAGTCTGAAAAGAATAGGATCAAATCTCACAGCCAGAGCTCTTCTCTAAACCCTCAATACTCAAGAAACGTTGCCGATAATTACGTCGTCAAATGTTGTTCGAAGCAGCCGCAGAGCATCCTGATAGCAGAGATGGCGGCCTCCATTTCCGTAGTCACAACCGCAGTCAAAAGAGTCGGGGAGCCGTGTAAACGGTATATCAGCTGCGGCACTGGGCACATTCTAAGTGATTCCTGAAATCCTGGAGCCGAAATACTGCTCAATATCAAACCATCAATAACAAAGAGGTAATCCTGCAGAGAATCATGCTCGACGAGGTCAACAACCTTGTATGCTTGGGAGGGCTAGTGACTACTTCTCCTAAACAGCACTTATGGTAACAATCCAAGAAGTGACGCAACAAGTAATTGATATGTCTAGATATATCGGGTATTGGATTGTACAGGTGTTGATACAGAGTCCGGAGTCGTGTCATGTGGCACCAGACGCAAGATCATGGGCAAATTACAAAAGATTTAAACATGTGTTCCGTGAAATTTGAGGGTATGTGGTCGAAGATGGGGACGGCTTTGGTCAACGATAACTAACCCAAGTGATGCTCCGTGACTCTCAATTCTGACGGCGGCCTGCCTAGGCCCATCCGTCATTTTGATGGGCGACTTGAGATCGCCTTCAACATCGGCTTGCACAACCCTGTAATGTAGGTGGTCTGATTCGCGTTGCATACCATGTGAGACCGAGCCACTGGATGCTTGGTCCCTTCCGTCGTACAACGTCGCGTGATTATCCCATGGGTATCGAATTCTGTCAACTGCAAGCCACGGTGTACATAGCTTTGAGCTTTGCAATCAGGTCTCAGACGTCGCGCTTGGCAGCTCAAGAGCATGGTGCACATGTACAAGGCGACTCAAGGTCGACCATCTTAATGCCAAGTGAGGTTGCACAAACATCACGCATCGCCGTGCAACTTCTGTCGTACTGGTTTCATCAAGCCCGTCTTGCAGAATCCCAGGTAGGCAAAGCTTAACGAGGCACCGCATCGTGAGTTGGTATGACTTGGGCCCCGGTTCATCCTAGACTGTCCTCTGACCACCTTAGCAGTCGCACCGGCCAAACCAGCGTGGAAAAGCCACAACGTCTCTGACATTAGGGACTCCCACAAGATAACTCAGCAATCTATCGAAGCCCAGGCCAAAGCCGCCGTGTGGATTGGATCCCCAACGACGGAGGTCAACATACCACTCGAGATCGCTGCCGTTGGTGTCATCGCGTCCGCCATCAGCTGGAGAGCCCATGCCGCGAGCCTTCATAGTCTCCAACAAGTCCGTCAAGCGATGCTCACGCATTGAGCCGCCGGCAATCTCGCACAAATCGGGGACCAGAAGATCAAAGCAGTCGACTGTGTCACCTGGCAGATCATGACCGGAAGTTGCGGTGTCTGATTTCCTCATGTAGAATGCTTTGATCGCCCGAGGGTAGTGGGTAACGAAGACAGGAAAATAGGCAGAGGAGTCGCTGGTGGCACCGAGAATTTTGGCGAGGAACTTTTCATGCTCAGAATGCAGGCCGCTTTCCCATGTAGGCTTGATCTCGAACTGATGTTCTTCTGCCTGAAGCAATTTGATCGCATCGGCGTATGTGATGCGTGGCCATCTGGAAGCTGGGCTCTGCATCATCCCCTTCCAACGGCGCTCCACTTCGTCGATCGGAACCAGGTCATCTTCCGCTGTTCGTTTCTCTCCGGGCGCATGTCGTTGTCGCAGTTCTTGCGCAGCGCGAGTCTGATATAAGCCAGTGACCAAACTACGGAGCATGTCTTCAACGAGGTTTGTGACTTCGTCCAACTCATCGACGAAGCTCATCTCCGCCTCCAGCATGTAGAACTCGCTCATGTGTCTTGAGGTGTCGCTCCGCTCCGCTCGGAAGGTCGGTGATAATGTCCATACATGCCCCAGAGACTGAGCTAACGCCTCAAGATGAAGCTGAGTGGACACCGTCAAGTACTTTGGCGAGCGGAAGAACATGTTTGCTGGCTTGTCCTTGCCCGTATTCGAGATTGCGGGTGTCTCGGTCGAGCCCGTAGCAACGTTGAAGACCTCGCCTGCCCCTTCGCAATCTGAAGATGTGATGATGGGCGGATGAGTTTGGGTAAAGTCTCGAGAGGCGAAGAACTGAGTCAACAACGCGACGGCTTCTGATCTCAATCGCAAGATTGCGGCATTCAGTGGTATCCTGGTTCGAAGATGGGGCATGGTGCGAAGGTAGTCGGGTGTTTGGTACTTCTTCTGAATCGGGAACGTCTGGTTTCAATGACGGCATTAGCGATGGTTTAGAGAAAAGAAGAGGGGCAGTGAGCCTACCTTTGCGTCAGAGGGGCCTAGGATTTCGACATGATCGACCTTCAACTCGTGACTTTGACCGTCTGTTTTGGAGGGAGTCCAGACACCCCGTAGGCGGACTGCTGCACCGACTCGCAGGTTTGCGCTGGGAGATTATCAGCAATCACGGCTTCCGAGACAGTGGCCAAGCTTGGGGATCTGAGAGGGACACACCTTTCTTCGTCGCTCCTTGATACCAGTGCCTGGATAGGCGACCGTGAGGAACCGTCGCCAATATTGACGAATCGATCTGTCTTCATGTTGCGAACAGACCGGACGTATCCATTGACGACAACATCTTTGACTTCGGTTTCGGGCTTCCACTCTAGAAATTGGGCTACTGTTCTCCGTGGTGCTGTAGAGAGGTATCGTCTGTGGATGGGTTGGACAAGGAGCCCAGATGGGCGCGCAAGCTTGCGCAAAGGGAATGTTGCCGCAGTTCGCATGATGAAGATAACTTGGGATCTGTCAGACTACCGCGTCATGTTGTGGAAATCGAAGCATTCGACCCTCGTGATCTGCCAACAGCAGGGGTGAATGGTATAGTTGGACAGCGGAGGGGTTGCGACTACAAGGAAAGGAACGACGTCTTTCGCGACGACATGCGACGGATGACTGAGGTCGGAGCTTGAGAAAAAGTCTACGAATGGGAAGCTTCAATTCATCTAAGTGGGGCCCCTCGGTATGTTAAAGTAGAAATACTTATGATCGAACCTACGCTGTGCATATAAGAGGGTTCCTGGACTTCCTGCAGCTTTCCCGGGCAGGTTCTGGAGATAAGATAAGATAGGAAGCAGTCTTATCGGTGGTAACTCCCCGGTACCTACACAAGGTACGTACCGCCGAGTTGTCTCCTCGACGGCCAAAATACCTTAGCCACCACAGCTCCTCCCGTCTGCATCCCTCCACACCACAAACATCTCCTCTCGAATCAGATGACATCCCCGGCACTCGACGTCTCCCCCATACTCCAGCTCTAGACCTTCTCTCTCTACGCTTTGAATAAGACTTGTTATTGCCAAATGTCCACCTTAAACGCACCATGCCTGATCCATATCCCGGTCCGACTTGTAATTGCAAGAACCTGGGCCTCGAGTCCTTGTCTGGCTGATCGAGTCCAATTATTGACAGAATTCAACATTTCATCAGCTCCGCCCTCGACTCCCGAGACACCAAACACCGGACACGGGTGACGACTTCGGGATAATGCAGTTGTTGGCTAGCAACCCCATGACATGGATCTGGAATCCGATCGAGTACAGTCTTTTCTTCTTGGTCCAAACTTCGTCTCCCTTCAGATCGAGGCCGCAAACCCGAGTCGGAACCTGTATGCAAGTCATGGAGAGCATGGATCCGCATCCTCGGCGGGCAAACAGACACCCAACGTAGCCTTGTCACCTCCCATCGATATTTTGCCTCACTTCCAAGATGAGCTCACATCTCTCCTCATTGCGCCCAACCTTTGGACAGGCAGCCCTGCCTAGTGGGGGCCCAAGAACCATGAAGCTGGGTTTTTTGCTTCTTCCATGCCAGCTTATTGCTTATTAGCCCGCGATCTAAGCAAGGCACGGCACGGGCTGCTGGGACTCGCAACTATTCTCCCTCGCCATCTTTCCCTACTTTAGCTCCCGCCCCGCCCAAACTGTCTTCAGACCCTGGGTACGGATACCTCGCCTTAGCCAACAAGATATGTACGGACCCTGGCTTCGACCCCCCCCGGTTGCACTGCTTGCTCCCATCGCCCTATCCCGGCTCGCAAGAACGCCTCAAGTGAGATCTTGGGAAACAGGAAGATCTCGTATAACTGCGGCAGATTGCAGTAGTAACTCGATCGGATCCCACCTACCAAGACCACGGGAAGACTGACGTGACACGACCCGGGTTTCTGTACAAGCAAGACATATCTCATCACAACCACGGCAAGCCCACCCACCCTTTACGCGCCCTTCCTATACACTACCCTGGAATGTCGCAGACTTGACTGAGATCCGGCAAGTATTGGTAACACTCTCCCATACACCCTTCACCGCCCTCGCTTCCTGGATAGGCGAAGCAATTCATTCCTCTGCAAAGGGGCCCAAGATACCTCACCATGCTATTGTTTCTTTTCTTCCTTCCCGCGCTCCTGGTCTACAAGCCGCAGCTAGAGTTGCCTCCCGAGCGACTCTTCATTGCGAGGGGACGTATTTAAAGCCACGAGTGTACCCCACGGTTGGTGCTTCCCTGATCTCTCATTCTCAAGTCATACTCGCCGCATTGCGTCTGATCAAGGATCAGTTCTACACAGCAACTCGACCTTCGTCACCGCCCCAAGAATTTCTTTGGCCTGCCTTCGCGAGCTTACAATGCCTTCCTCGAAGCCTTTGAAGATCAAGCCCTCCGAGGTTGCGGCGGACACCAAGAAGAAACTGATCCCAGAAGTCAATAGATACTTCCGCGAGGAGTGGCCCCCATACTCAGTTCTCTACTCTCAGCCGCTACTCCAGCTTCCGCTCAGCCGCCCGGCCTTCATGAGCTCAGACTTACCCAACTTCTGTAAGACTCACCCATGGCCGTCATCGGTTATGATTCGGAGCCACAGCTAACCATGGCAGATGTCGTGCATAGCGATCCTGTAGACTGCGCACTGGGCTGGGCTCAAAGTGAAGGAGTCCGGATCCCCTTCATCTGCGCCGCGAACGAGAAGCGACCCGGAGGTGATTGGGAGACAGGTGTTGTCGGTTACGAGGTATGTCGTCGATGGTGCGCCTTGTATAACACAACTCTGACTCGACGCGTTATGTAGGAGAGATTATGCCGTCGCAGCAATCTGTCAGCAACGTTGGGGTCTCCCCATCCGGATACATGCATGCCAACCAACTACCCGATCCCGATCGAAGGAGCCATCTATTCTCCCGATGTTGGTAGGCACATGCGTACTACCTAGCATCTTGGTCATTCTTGACTAATGAAGTGTGCAGTTCGTTTCCGCCAGTTTCAAGACAGGATCGAGTCATTGGACATGAAAGATTGGAGGTCGCTGCCAGTTATTTCTATGCCGCCAGCTCGGTGGCCGAAGCTCACAGACATGGGACGAAAGTACTCTTTTTCGGAAGAGCGAGAATTGGTACGGAATAAGATGCGCGCCGCCTTGCGAATCTGCGTGTTCAACGGCTACAACCACGTTGTGATCGGCGACTTTGGCCTTGGCAATGGCTACCGCAACCCGCCCAAGGAGCTGGCGGAGTTGTGGCGCGAAGTCTTTCTCTACGACCCAGAATTGAGGGGCCAGTTTCTCGCCGTCATGTTCGCTTTCGAAGACGACAGACAGTGCACAGCCAAGTTCATCCTCGACGACATCGCCAAGAAGACGAAAGGGAGCGGCAGCAGCAGCAGCTCTTCGAAAAGCAAGTCAAAGAGCTCGTCATCATCAAGTTCAAGCGGCAGTTCATCCAGTCACAAAAGCGACTTCAAAATCTTCAGCGAAATCTTCGCGACGAGTGAGATAGCCAGAGTTCGGAGCCAACCTGACCCACGCTACGCCTTCTCTGCAATTATGGATGGGTCTTGACCGATTTGCTCTTGGCGCATCCTCGACCGGGTTAATGTCTCACTCATGGGTACTCGATGTGAGCCGGTGAGACCTGGCCGTACGTCAGGCTGGCTGAGGCGGTATACCCTGGGCAGAGTCTTGTCTCGCCGTACGACCTGTCATGTCAACACATGGCTACAAGAAAGGTGTTTATGTCTCGCAACACAGGCTTTTCAGCACTACTAACGACTGGTTCCCTGTCCAAGTGCGGTGATTGGTCCGCAATGACCGGGCAGGGGGATCAATTTTTTGCATTATTCGACGGGGCTTTCAGTTCAGCGGCCCACGCTGGTTGCCTTTTCTGCCCTTGCACGTCGGGCTGAAGCTACTTGCGATCTCGAGGGTCCCTGGATCTACAACGTCGGGTGTCGATTGCCTGTTCCGGCCAGTGTGCTCGGAGGGCTTCGATAGTGGTCTTCAAAGTTGTTTGCCTATTTCCTTTTTTTTCGACATCTCGATTTTCGCGGGAATTTGCTTGCTCTCACTGGTGCACATCATCATACGGTTGACTTCGGGTTGGCGGCGTTGGGAGTGGTAGGACAAAATGGCTAGATCCGATGTAATTGGGACCTAGGAGCTTTTGCAGGTGTCTGGCGTATTCTTCTGGTTCAAATCACAAATCCCTTCATATTCCATATCCGGAAGCAATTTTCAAGCATGATTGAAATCTCCCTCTTCCCTTTGCGCAACACGGTTCGCTCCAAAGATGTAGGGGCGACTGGACGTAGGGATAAGCATGGCGCGCGCAATCCTGTTGTCCAGTGGCCATTGGTGTATGGAAAAGCATTGCCTTGCCGCAGCCGCCTGGTCTTCACCCTAGCAACGCGACCCTCCGGAAGGGCCTGGCATGGAATGCCAACGACAGTCTTGGCCACTGTGCTAGCTCAGCAGAACCCAGAGAAGGTTGACTCCCGGTGCCCCGCCAAGCCGAAGAAGGTAGTCAAACAGACCAAAGGGGAGAAATGCCTTCAGCAAGACTGGATAGCGGTATACTATTTCGACCCGAAATCCTCGCGCCTGAAGAGTATGAGTTGAATGCTGAGGCTCTCGCCTAAAACGTCTTAGCAAGAACGGCAAGGTTAACATCCGCGACCATTGGAATGGGCCAGAGTCGCTTGTTCAGCCCGCTCCTCTATCGAATTCGTAATCGACATGTCCAAGTCATACTAAAGTGTTTGCCTAGGCACGTGCCGCGGCGCCACTTGACGAGAAAAAGCAAGCATACAGAAAGGCTCACCTGTCTTGCCCGTTTACCGGCAGCAAACCTTTGGCTCTCCAACGAACACTCAAGAATCGGTGTCTCTGAAGGGATGAAATAAAGAGCGGGAGCCTCTGACATGGTCTTCCCAGTACCGCGGTTGGTCAGGCTGACGAAGAACGATAGGCCGTCAGAGCTGAACATCCGAGGGTGGAGGGATCTTCGACCAGGATGGTGAGTGGCTATTGGAGGGCTGAGAAGACATCCATGTTTGCTTTTCCGGGAGCTGACATGATCTCAGGCGCAAACAACTCTGCATATGTCCTCGTCATGATAGAAAAAAAAGTCTACCGCTACCCCGAAATCCAAATACCTCACCCCTGCCTGCATGCCAGATCTTGACCGGGACATTCGATCGGCTGGAACTTTGGGTATCACTGCGTTGGCTCTCCCCACGACGACCCCCCACCCTCACCTACACAAGCAATGGGCTCTTTTCCCTCCCCTCTTGAGAGACAATACTGACTCTGGACACTGGTACGGTGGCCCTTTGGGGCGGGGAGGATCCGCGAAGACTATGAGAAGTCTATCACTTCTCAATTTTCCGAACCACCAGATGGCTGATCCGAGGCATCTTGCCTGTGACACATAGTACGGCCGAAATGCGCAAGACCCGTTACGGCCTTTATCTACGGGTAGAGATTTCGTGGGCCACGAGATTCCCGCCTTTGCACTTCTTATCCAAACATACGACGAACCTGCCTCCCTGCCTTGCTACCCGACTGACGGGGACACCACCCCAGAGATCCCAAAGACTTTGGAGGTCATAGGGAGGGTCGCGGGTTAGAAAGAGGGTTTATCTTTCGAACCCCTGGAACCGGGGGCTGACGCCACCAGGGCCCGACCACGCGGGACCGGAGGGCACTCCGCGGTCGAACATCCCGCAGCCCTCTTCAAATGCTAGCCCTTGCATAGTCCCCTGCCATCCAATCACACCTCATTAGCTCAGGCGAGAGGTGCCGAGCTGGACTCCCTGCCAATACCCCGATGTGGTCAGTTACACCAGACACAGACATCGACGGAGGAGGGGCGGGGGTGAAGATGCGAAAGACATTCCGCGAGGACTATCTCCATTCAGGGAGAGTGTCCAATGCGAGAGGTATCTCAAGTCTACACTTTCTTTCTCTTGCTGTCCTTCCCCCCCAAGTGCCCCCTCTCTGCCCACGCGGCAGTCAAGGGATACACTGGCGTCGCTTTAGAAACTGAGTTTAGTGGGCAAATTCTGCCTTCTCTTCAAACTCTTCATGAAGTGGTTTCCCGTTCTAGGCTGGGGGCTAAGTAATGATTGCTAGCGCAGAGTTGTCGTCATGCCCCTCTTCTCTCTCTCCTCCCCCTGTATCATCAATGATGAATCTCTTGCCGCGTGCATGTTCATCCTTGGGCGCTGCATTGGACTCGTGAATGGCATGGGTGTGCGGGTGATCGCTGCTGCGTCGACGCCCAACCCGTCGTGCAGCATGACATGATACTCGACGGATAAAAGGAGTGGGACAAGGCGGCAAACCACCTTCTTTTCGTTCTCCCAACGGGAGGACCCAAAACATCATGTGCGGCAGAGCACCAGAGACTCTCTCGTGGTACATCATCATTTATCACGGCTCACCGCTTCGAGGATGAGAGACATGTAGGGCGGTGACTATGCCCACCACTAACGCTTCCTCTTCTGGCACTTTGAGCCGCCCAAAATAAGACGAGGCGTTCCCGGATGGAGATCCCGCCTTGCGTTGGGGAATGGAGGGTTTTTGCTTGTCTACGGGTGGACTACCTACCTAGGTTTTTCCCCCTCCCTCCTCTGAGACATGCATGTAAGCCTCATCGGGGAGAAGAGGTCGGCACGGTCGGTCGGTCGTGGGTAGACAAGGTAGGCGAGGAAGAAGAAAAAAACGTATCGATCTTCGTCAGGGATCACGGATTTGCTGCAGCTGCGCGTAGATCAGCTAGATGAACACCCCGACCACCTAACGAATCCATCAATGCCGTTTCCTGCTGCCTGCCTGCCCGCCTTTCTATCCCGGGCGCCAGATTGACGGGGGTGAAGGAGGAAGCAGAGAGGCCCAGCCCGTCGCGGGTCGGTCGTCTCATATTGGACCCGTCCAGATTATGCACATCAACCTGACCCTGGTGTACCGAGAGAAACCTGCCATCTGGAGTTTGGGAGACGAGTGAGGAATACGGGAGACGGGATGGGGGGCTCGGAGAGAAGTAGTATGGGTAAGCAGCCTTGGTGAGCTAACAGAAGGCCGCTCGGGAGGCTGCATGTTTCAAGGCCCTCAGACCCAACGACGTCCAGTCGTTGGTGTCCTGTGCTATCATTTCGTCTTGCCTATCCTCGTTCCATCGGGCCTACCTTTATGCCGGCGTGGAAAACGGCCCAGGGAAATGAGGTACGGCGGGTAGCGACGCCGTATGACCAGAAAGCGAGCAAATTTGGAAAGGTAAATAAACAGTCGCGCTGGCTGTTAGGAGTAGGCAGGAACAGCATTGCGGAGCTATTCCCAGCACGCCTCCAACGGTCTAAACGGATTGTACAGACACTACAAAGCCAGAAAGCCACCGGCTTCGTGTCTCAGAAACCTTGAGCAAACGTCATCTACCGAGGGAAGCAGGTTTACACAAAAGCGCGATGAGATTTGACCGTGATCAGCAATTCCCCGCCCCTTCGAATTTTCCCACCCGGGTGATGTCGTGCGAAGCTTGGCGGAGGGAACTAAGAATTGGGTGGTGCATCTCGGGCGGTCTTCATTCCTCTATGATTACTCCCGTGCTTGGGTGTGTTCATATTTAGACACTGGTGTTCCGTCAACCATCACATTTCACATCTCACAGTTTTATATCAGATTTCGTGCGAATATGAGTGTGTTTGTGAGGTCCTGGCTTTGCTTTCAATGGAATTCGGTGGAGTTTGCCGTGGAGTCTTGAAATTATTCATCTGGGTGTGCCATTATGCCATACTGCATGGCCCAACCCAGAAAGAGAAGTACAAGACTTGTTTTCAATGGTGTTGAACGTAAGCCGGGAGGGATACAGAAATTCTCAATGGGCTGCGGTCGCACTCGCAGCTGCAGGTTATTGGATGAGATGTCATGAAGCATGCGCAGGCAATGGGCATCGAAGGGGATGTAGTGACCAGAATCGTGAATGTCCTCTAACAAGCATCGTCCGTTGTAGTCGATGGCCGAGCGGTACAGCTCCAGCCTTGAATAGGTGGGAGCGTATGTTGGCTCACGGTCCTACATAATGCCATGGATAGCTTGTTTTTTTGTCATTTTCCACCATAGTAATTTTGGTGGCGGGCGATGTTTGGCCTCGTGACTTGTTGTTTGGGTAGGTACCGGTACTTCATGGAAGACACGGAATACCATCACATGTTTCGAGGCGTCGCGGGTTCGAGTCGAGGTCTCCTCGCGACTTCTTCCATTTTTTTGGGTATATTTCGCTATTGAGGAAGGATCTCTACTGACTGAGATGAAATAAAATGATAGCTGTGCTTGGGAGACTGGAGTGTTGCCTCTCGGAACGGCTCTCGAGATCAAGAGACAATGCTTTCTCCAGGAAAACCCGGTAGGCTGAGACTCTGCAGTCTAGTCTTCGCGGGCGGAGTGCTAGTACTGAGGCGACGAGACCACGACGTGGCTTTGGCAGTGGCCATCGTGGGAGTCAGCGCACACGTATCGGCCTGGGAAGCAGGGACGTTACTCTTCGAAATTTTCCTTGAAGATGG